ATCTTCTCCAATTTTTCCATATCTTTCTTGAAACGTGGTTCCCAGAACCATACACAATTCTCCATTTGAGGCCCAATCAGCGCCGAGTAGAGCGGAACAATGACTTCTCATGTCTTGCTCATAACACTCCTGTTAATGCGTCCCAGAACCATGTTTGCTTTTTTTACAACAGTGTCACACTCTTGACTTATTTTTAACTTGTGATCCACAATGACCCCTAGATTCCTTTCTGCATTGCTCCTTCCTAGACAGTCGCTTCCCATTCTGTATGTGTAAAACTGCTTGTTCCTTGCTAAGTGGAGTACTTAGCATTTCTCTTTATTAAACTTCATCCTGTTTACTTCAGACCATTTCTCAAGTTTGTCCAGATCCGTTTGAATTATGATCCTATCCTCCAAAGCAGTTGCATCCCCTCCCAGCTTGGTGGTATCTGCAAATTTAATAATCTTATTCTCTGTGCCATCATCTAAATCTATCAGAACCGGATTCAAAACAGACCCCTGCAGAAATATGCCCTTCCAGCAGGATTGTGAACTGTTAATAACTACTCTCTGAGAACAGTTATCCAGCCAGTTATGCACCCACCTTACAGTAGCCCTATCTACGTCGTGTTGCCCTAATTTATTGACAAGAACATTGTGTGGAAGTGTATCGAATATTTCACTAAAGTCTAGGTGTACCACGTCCATTATCTGCAAGGTTTGATATCCTATCAAAGAAGGCTATCAGAGTGGTTTGGCATGATTTGTTCTTTACAGATCAGTGTTGACTTCTTCCTGTCACCTTATTATCTTCCAGATATTTTGCAGATGAATTCCTTAATTACTTGTTCCATTATTTTCCCTGGCACAGAGATTAAGCTGATTGGTCTGTAGTTTTCTGAGTTGTCCTTATTTCTCTTTTTATAGATGGGCACTATATTTGCCCTTTTTCAGTCTTCTGGAATCTCTCCCAACTTCCATGATTTTTCAAAGATGATGGCTAAAGGTTCAGATACCTCCTCTATCAGCTCCTTGAGTATTCTGGAATGCAATTCATCAGGCGCTGGTGACATGAAGACATCTAACTTTTTCTAAGTAATTTTTAATTTGTTCTTATTTTATTTGAACTTGTAAACCTACCCCATTTCCATTCGCATTCACTATGTTAGGCTTTCAGTCAACATGAAACTTCTTGGTGAAAACCGAAACAAAAGTTATTAAGCACCTCTGCCATTTCCAAATTTCCTGTTATTGTTTCTCCCTTTCTCTGAGCAACGGGTCTACCCTGTTCTTGGTCTTCCTCTTGCTTCTGATATACTTGTAGAATGTTACCCTTTATGTCTTCAGCTCAGAGGTCAGCAACTCCCAGCAGGTGTGCCACCTGTCGATTTTTACTGATACACAGGGCAGGAATTCAACCCCGCTCCTCTTCCCTCACATAGTGAGAGCCTGCACTGCCACAGCACCGTCTCTGGGAGGCAGGCAAACAGGCTGCTGATTGGGCTGTGTGCCAGCCAGTGGTCAGTGCTCTCCCCCTTCGCTACCTGCCCAACTCCTTATAGAAGTGATCTGGTGGAAGCAGGTGAGCTGCTGCTGCTGCTGATTGTGGTGGTGGTAGGCGTGTGGCGGCTCAGCTGGGTAAACTCTGGGATCAGGGCTTGGGCCATGTGGCTGCTTCTCCAATAATGGAGTTGTGGTAGTGGGGCAGAGGCAGCCCGGCAGCCCAGCTGGGGATGGGGTCAGCATGTGTGTGACTGCATGGGGTGGGTGCTGGCATTGGGGTGAGGTGGAGGCAAGGAGGTAGTGCTGTGAGGTGGGAGAGGTGTGGATAATTCGCTTGTGCTTTAACTGGGAGTTAGGACAGGGCTTGCCCAGCTGGGGATGGGGTCAGCATGTGTGTGACTGCATGGGGTGGGTGCTGGCATTGGGGTGAGGTGGAGGCAAGGAGGTAGTGCTGTGAGGTGGGAGAGGTGTGGATAATTCGCTTGTGCTTTAACTGGGAGTTAGGACAGGGCTTACTGCTGATGCCTGCTACTTTGAGAAGCAGGATTTTATCCGAGCCTTCCCCCCTCCCCCCCAGGCTGGGGGGAGCCCATTCCACCGGGCTGGGTGGGGGAAAGAGGAGGTGGGTGGGTCCTGGCATCTGTGTGGTGAGTTGAAAGTGGGGGACAGTTTACGTGGGGTGTCTGTCTGAACACTCAGAGGCTTGTGTACTGCTGAAAGTATCAAACTATGGGCCCGAGAGCAGAGATCTCAGCAAGGCAAAGCAAAGCCAAGGAGCACACTAAATGGTAAGATCTGCTTCTTTATTAATTAATGAAGCTGTTGTAAGTAGGTCTATTGTTGACTTGAAAAAATACCAGCAGCACTTGGACCCGTACATACAGGTGAATAAGTTAAAACTCAGCACACCACTTGTGAAAGGTTGCTGACCCCTGCTTTAGCTAGATTGAGCTCATTTTGTGCCTTTGCCTTTCTAATCTTGCGCCTGCATACTTGTGTTATTTGCTTATATTCATCCTTTGTAATTTGACCTAGTTTCTACTTTTTATATGACTCCTTTTTGATTTTTAGATCATGTAAGATCTCCTGGCTAAGCCAAGGTGGTCTCTTACCATACTTCCTATCTTTTTTATGCACTTTGGCCTTTGAAAAATTGCCAACTCCTTTCAGTTGTTTTTCCTTTTAGTCTTACTTCCCATTGGACCTTACCTACCAGCTCTGAGTTTTCTAAAATCTTCCTTCCTGAAATCCATTGTCTCTATTTTGCTGCTCTGCCTTCTACCATTCCTTAGTATCTATGATTTCATGATCACTTTCACCCAAGCTGCCTTCTACTTTCAAAATTTCAACCAGTTCCTCTCTATTTGTTAAAATCAAATCAAGAACAGCTTCCCCCCAGTAGCTTTTTCAACCTTCTAAAATAAAAAGTTGTCACCATTGCAGTCCAAGAAATTACTGGATAATCTGTGCCCTGCTGTGTTAGTTTCCCAACATTATGTTTGGATTGTTGAAGTCCCACATCACCACCAAAATCTGCTCTTTGAATGATTTTGTGAGTTGTTTAAAAACAGCCACATCTACCTGGGTAGGTGGTCTGTAGTAGACTCCTAGCATCACCCTTGTTTTTAACCCCTTTTAACCTAACCCAGACACTCAACAAGTCTGTCCCCTATGTCCACGTCCATCTCAGTCCAAGGATATATAGTCTTCATATATAAGGTCACACCTCCTTCCTTTTTTCCCCTGCCAATCCCTCCTGAACAATCTGTACTCTTCTATATTATTAATCCAATTGTGTATTATCCCACCAAGTCTCTGTGATACCAACGATGTCATAGTTGTGTTTATTTCCTAGCACTTCAAGTTCTTCCTGCTTATTTCCCATACTCCTTGCATTTGTATATAGGCATCTAAGACACTGATTTGATTTCCCCCCGGTTCTGCCTTTTCCCCTCCTTTATCTTTAATATATGGAGATATACCTATCTCATAGAACTGGAAGGGACCTTGAGAGGGCATCAGGTCCAGCCCCCTGCCCTCACAGCAGGACCAAGTACCATCCCTGACAGATTTGCCCCAGATCCCTAAATGGCCCCCTCAAAGATTGAACTCATGACCCTGGGCTCAAGCAGGCCAATGCTCAAACCACTAAGCTATTCCTCCCCCCATCTCTTTTATTATAGCCCATGTTTCCTCCCATTTCTGACCCATCTCCCAGGTTTTTATGGTTTTTGATTACCTGTGGGCTTTGGTCATCAGCCCCTGTGGAACCTACTCTAAAGCCCTTCTCACTAGGTTAGCCAGTCTGCATCCCAATACGGTTTTCCACTTCCTCAAAAGGTGAACCCCATCCCTGCTTAGCAGTCCTCCGTAATGTCTCAGATATGGGCCCCGGCAAGCAGCATACCTCTCGATGACGTGTCAGGATGACAGATGGGCGCCTCTGTCTCCTTCAGAAGAGAGTCTCCGGCCACCACTACCCTATGTTTCCTCCTTGCGGTGGTGGCAGCAGATCTCCCAGCCTTGGGGGTACAAGGCCACTCCTCTTCTGTTTGAGGGGGTGATTCCTTGTCTCCCGTATCCAGAATGGTGTAACGGTTCTCCAGTACCCCAGTGGAAGGAATGGGAATGGGGTTGGGCACTGCTTGCTGCCAGAAGTGACCAGCTACAAGTGTCCCCTCGAGACAGGACCGTCTCCACCACCAGTGGTGTGTCAGCAGTCTTTTGTAATATGATAGCTTTCTTAGCCTCCGCAGTTTCTACATAAATACTCTCAAGGAATTCCTCATGGATTTGGATGCTCTTCATCCTCACCACCACCTCCTGTAGTTCTCCCACCTGCTTCCTGAGAGATTCCACGAGCAGACACCTTTCACGTTGGATGGTGTCCTCAGCCTAGGTTTCAGCAGTGCTTTTTTTGTGACGGTACTCGCATCTTCAGTCAGAGCTCAACAACTTTTCCCCTGGAGTACTGGCACTTTAAACAAAAAAAAGCACTGTGTTTCAGTAAGTGAGAATTGCAAGCCACAGATCCTGTAACACCACACCAGGATCTGAGTGGAGGCAGCCATGGTCAGGTGGTCTGTCTGGCTACAGGCACAGGTGGAGGAGACAGGAGAGGTGCTGGCACTCACATTGTGGATCTTCCTAACCATATTAGGACTCCCCTGTCTGCAGCCCTCCTCTGCTTCACTCCCCCTAGTTGCTCTGCCTCTGGGTTTTAAAGCCTGCTCACCTAGGTCAGGCCTGTCCCCACCCCCCGACCCCATTAGCCACACGGGGGAAGACTGATCATTTGCACAAAGAAAGCTCATGAGGATGTTCGTCTTCCTTATCAATGAAAGAAATGCACACTGATCATTCTCCCTCCTCCCCCTAAGGTAACAATTACTTACTTTGGGCCTTAAGTACAAACAGTAGGATTTAAGTGGTTGCAAGTGAAAACAGATTAAAGTGAGTTACTAAGTTAAAATGAAGCTATAGGTAGTTCTAATTCACTAAAAAACTTATTGCAAGCAGATTATTACTCTAATGAGCTGTTGTCGTTCTAGGCCTAATCTTCAGATCAGAGACAACCTCTTTTATCTTGATGTAGGGTCCCCAGCCCTCTTTGGAATGTGTCATGCCAGCCAAAGGCAAAGGGCAGATAACTTCCCTTTGATTAAAGTAAGTGTAAGTGTGTGTGTGTGTGTGTGTGTGTGTGTGTGTGTGTGTGTGTGTGTGTGTGTGTGTGTGTGAGAGAGAGATTTTGTTCTACGTTCCACCTTCCATGGAAAAATACCTGGGTCAAAATGGAATCCCATTATCATGTGGTATGGTCACATGTCTTACTAATCCAATCACCTTTGGACTTACATGACGAACAAGGCTGTTTACAAGTCATGAAGTTGATCAAGTCATTGAGGCTTCTGAGGAAGTGGGGTCACCATTAATGGCTCTCATTAGCACATTTAAAACTATAAACAGCCTCATACTTCATATTTTACACACAAGAATGACACATGCACCAAAAATAGGATATACAGATCCAGCAGATTATCATTAAAGTTGATAGGTTACATGAGGTATTTTGTCCAAAGCATCTCCAAATTATGCATATTTATATTTGTAAGCCAATTTTCATAAATCATGGAGGGACAGTCACAGCAGGTTCTGTCAAGGGAAGCTAAGTCCTTTTATATGCATCCTGTACCACCCTTGTTAGTTGTGATTCCTGCTAATGCAAAGTTGTCAGCAAATAAGACCACACCAAAGGAATGAGAGCCTAAATAATTGGATATATTTGGTTCAAAATCATATTCTTTAGCTAGTTTTTCTTGACTTTTTTCCATCTTTCTTGATTCTTTTACCGATCTTTTCCTAATTGTTTACTGTCTTTTCTTCAGATTTTTTTTCTCAATCTTATCCTGATTACTGGCTTTCTCACCTTTCTTCTTCTTTTTTTCAACTTTTCCCAGAATTTCTCAACTTCTTTCTTGATTTTTTTTTTCAGATTTTTTTTCCTTGATTGTTTACCTTAATGGATAATGCTTACTGGTTCTGGTCAACCATTAACTGGTGGGAGCTGAAGCAGTTCACCACCTACCGTGGACAGAGGCTGCTCCAGCATCTGGAGCAGCCCCTGTCCATGGCAAGCCTGGGCCTGTTGCGGACTGGGCCAGGCTAGAGCAGCCCCTGCTTGCAGCGGGAAGGGGAGGATCACTTTAGCCCAGCCCCCCTTCCTGTGCCCCTTTTTATTGGTCAGCCGGTTAGACGTAATGTCTAACCGCTTAACCAATTAAACAGGATTTTACATCCCTAGTCAGCACACCAGCACTTAAGAGGAAGCACATTAGTCATCAGTTACGCCTTGCATAGGTCATTTCTACCAATATTAGCCTTTTTCCACCAGAAGCCATCAGAGTCTCTAAAAAGAGTCAACATTTCTACAGGAGGAGGCCAGTGACCTATACTATTTGTCATTTTGGACTGAACCACCCATTTTGATGGTCATTTGAGATAGGAAACTACACTCAGAGATCCAGTGCATTTGAGAAGATTTTGTTTTCAAGCACATATGGTCCTCAGTTTTGGATTTTTATGATGGAATAATCTGTCCTGTTCCATACTTTCCCATCCCGCTTCTCTGTTCCCTTTCAGGGACTCAAGAAGTCCTGTTGTTTCATTCACTTGTTGGGGGTGGAGGATGAGGGGAAAAAAGTGTATTTCCTCAATGCCAATGGAATAGGTTCCACAGAAAATACTTCTGGAGGGGGGAAGAGGATAAAAGATGGCAGACCTCCTTGTGTGTAAGAACACATTCATATGCATGTTGAAGTTCAGAGACTATTTGGATGGACATCAAATTGTGTTATGAAATGTTCAAAGTGGACCCTCCAGCTTCTCTGAGCTCATTCCTTGAGAACTCAAGGAGCTTTCGCAGCACTGAGTAGAAATGTTTTCACAGTAGACCTATGTAAAGTAGCCTCCTAGAAATCTATTCACACATTCACGAAGCATTATGCTGTCTCTGATACCTCCAGATCAGATGACTTTTCAGGGAAGTGTATGTTGCAAGCTCCCACCTCTGTTACATTGGTCCACTGTTTGGAAGTCACCATACATAGAATATGCCGATAAACAGACTCTCAAAAGAGAGAAAGTTAATTAACTATGCAGCAACAGGCTCTCTGAGGGCATATGTGCACTACCACTCCACTAAGTGACAGGTCAGGCCAGTATAAGTGGTAATGTGCACAATGTTATGTCTTGCCAATGTGGCTACCACCACTTGTTGGGGTAACTGAATTGTTGATGGCAGAGCTCTCTGCTGTTGGTGTAGAATGGCATCAGTAAAGCTGTGCTGCTGTAAGCTCTCTAGTGTAGAGCTAGCCTGAGATGTGTTGTCTATGTGCACGTTCCACATAGACAACACATTAGGGATTCATTAGGGATGTCAACGTGTAGACGACTACAGGATTAACCGATAAGCCTGGGTTTATAGGTTAATCTTGTTGACTACACGCATTCTCCCCCATGCTGCCTCTGATACAGAGGCAGTAAGGGGAAGGCAGGCAGGAGCCTGTGATGCCTCACCATCTCCCCCCACTGCTGCCTCTATTAAAGGCAGCAGTGGTGTGGGGCAGGGGAGGCTGCTGCAAAGCAGCCTCTGTCCATGGTGGCCTGGGCACCCTGTGGACAGAGGCTGCTCAGAGGGTCTGAGCTCCCGGTGGACAGGGGCTACTTGGCATCCCTTGGAGCAGCCTCTCACTGTGATGAGCCTGGACCCGTTGTGGACAGGCACTGCTCCACAGCAGCAGCCCCTTTCTGGTGGAAGCTTGGACCTATATCAGAGGCAGCAGTGCAGGACAGGAACCAGTCTGTGTGGGAAGCTGTTTTTTTAAAATTTGCTCCCCTTGCTGACTGGATCCCACTTGCCAACCTGTGCTGTAGCCTTTCATAGAGAGGCAGTAGCACGGGCTGCTGGGGGTTCACCCAGGAGTGGAGTCAGGAGCAAGCTGGCTGGCCCTGACCCCAGAGACCATCAAACAGTTGTGTAACTGCTAAAATGTCATGGGGGTTACACGACTTTTCAGTTAAACACTATCTAACATCCCTACTTTCTGTCCCTCTCTACATCAGAGTTCTACTGGAACTTTGTGTTGGAGAGGAAACTAAATGGTGACTGGTGCACTCTTCTCTTATGGCTGCTCTATGACAAGAGGATAAAAGGGACACTGACTCATACTGACTTCCAAAAGACTCATTTGAAATTAACAGATAGCAGGTTTACAACAAACAAAAGGAAGTTTTTCTTCACACAGCGCAGTCAACCTGTGGAACTCCTTGCCAGAGGTTGCTGTAAAGACCAGGACTTTCAGGGGGTTCAAAAAAAGAACATGATAATATCATGCAGGTTAAGTCCATTGATACTTATTAGCCAGGATGGGTAGAAATGGTGTCCCTACCTCTGTTTGTCAGAGGCTGGAAATGGATTACATGAGAGGGATTACTTGATGATTACCTTTTCTGTTCAATCTCTCTGGGGCATCTGGCATTGGCCATTGGTGGAAGACAGGATACTGGGTTGGTTGGACCTTTGGCCTGACCCAGTATGGCAGTTTTTATGTTACTATAAATTCCACATACATATGGACAATACATCTTGAAGAAATCCGGTTACTGTACAGTTAAGTAACTTTTCTTTCTTCTTATAGCTCTTGGTTCATATTTGCATGGTGGTTTACAACTATAATGAATGGAAACCTACTTAGTAAACACAGGTTTTATTCTGGAGAAGTTGATGAGCTTCATACAAATGCAACCTATTTTGCTATGAACGACGAGTAGAGCTTTTTTCAAGCCTTCAGATATGGGTGAGGCACAGCCTGCACTTCCTGAAAAACAGACATGGTATAGTCTCTGTAGTCTAGAAAACATCTGTGTTTATCGTTCCTTTTCATAACACCAGTGCTTGAGTGAACAGACAAAGAATGTCTCCTAGCTGTAGTTATATTTTGTGTTGAATGTTTATCTCAAAAAATGAACTGATTTAAATGCAGAGAGGTGGGAGAGAGTAGGGGCAGTCTTCCTGTACTTCGTAGACTACCAAGTTGGTAAATAGTCATTTAAAGTCTACATCCAAACATGTGGCTGAGTGCGGGCTGGATTCCTTTCCCAAATGCATTCTTGCTTACATCCAGAAAATTGTTTCGAGCTCTATTAAAATGGGACAATTTTAGCATAATCACAGACTGAAACCTTGGAAATGCAAAATGTTCTCTTCTGTAAGAATGAAAAATCAAAAATCAGCTTTAAGCTTCAACAGGAAAAATTTGACACATTGAATTTTTGAGATGTGTGTGTTTTGCTTCAATAGGTTATGCATTGTTTTGCCAGCTGCCTTTAAGGAGCTCTACCCACTGAGTTGAAAACCATGTTTAAACCTAGAGAGGAGTTTGTGTGGTTTTAGAAAAATGATCATTTCCCAGTGCAGTTTTGAGCCTTTCTAATTTCAGAAAGGTTTGACAGTCCTTTCATATTGCCTGCACTGCATTCTCTGCTTGGTTGCACATCCACAAGCAATCTACAAGAGACATGAGACAAATTAATGGCAATGTGTCATTGATTGGAAAACCAGCTTGAAAATAATCTGTGCTCACAATTATGATTTTTTGGAGGTGGATATCAAAGTTGCTCAAATGATCTGGCAGTTTTCTTTGGTTATCTTTCCTATCTAGATTACAGAAGTCAGGCTTTAGTAGGCTTTTCTTGTTTCTGCTCCTTTGTGCTATATTTGGCTATTACTTTGTTTTGGAATTAGGATATCTCATTGTGACTGTATTGGGAATTTAAATATTGAAACCTTCCTGTTGATGGGAAGGGACTACAAGGCAGGGCCTCGGTTTAAATCATAGACTCATAGAGCACTAGAACTGGAAGTGACCTTGAGAGGTCATGAAGTCCAGTCCCTTGCCCTCACAGCAGGACCCAGTACCATCTGACCATCCCTGATAGATGTCTGTCTAACCTGCTCTTAAATATCTCCAAAGATAGAGATTCCACAACCTCCCTAGGCAATTTATTCCAGTGTTTAACCACCCTGACCGGAAGCTTTTCCTAATGTCCAACCTAAACCTCCCTTGCTGCAGTTTAAGCCCATTGCTCCTTGTCCTATCCTCAGAGGC